TTTTTTTTTTTTTTTTTTTTTTTTTTTCTCTTTTCACAAAGATTAAAAAAAAAAAATTAAAATCTTAAAAGAATTTTTAAAAATGTATTATTTTAAATAATACATTTACTGAACAATATATATTAACTTATATTTTTCTTTTTGTATCTTTTTTGTTTTTTCTTTGAAATATTTAATAAATAGCTTTTATTATAGGTGTAAAAAGATTTTCTACATATATTATTTTATTCTTTTATTTTTATGTATTACAGTTTTACTTTTCTTTCATTACACCTTTATATATATGCTAATTTTTTTTTTTTTGTTAATTGTCTAAAAAATATCCCATAAGAAAAAGAAGAGAAAAGAAAAGAAAAGAAAAGAAAAGAAAAGAAAAGAAAAGAAAAGAAAAGAAAAGAAAAGAAAAGAAAAGAATAATATTTAGTATGAAATGCCTTGAACAGTTTAAGTGATGTTATACCCTAAAAATTATTTAAAAAATATTTTATATATTGTTACATTTTTTATATCTTTGATAAAAATTTAATTGGAAAATATTCATGTTTAATATTCGAAAAATTAATATTATTTTTTTTGTCTATGCTATTTTTTGTAATTAAATGTTTTATTAATATTTATTATGTTGCAAAATTTGATATACAATTTTCTCATTTAATATAAATAATAATATTAAAAAAAAAAAAATAAAATGCATTTATATTAATATAAAAAATTTTCAATAAACAAATAAATTGTAATGGAAAAGTGTTTTATCATTATCTGAAATTACTTTATGAATTAATCTGTTTATATAATAAAGAAAAATAATTTATAATAAAAAAGGATAACTATAAATAAACAATTTTCTTTATATAAGTTTTACGAAATTGCATTAAATATATTAAAAATGAAATATAAATTGTCTTTTTTTTTTTTTTTTTTATTTGTCATTTAATCTATTATATATCTTTTCTATTTAATATACCTTAAATACAAATACATCTTAAAATAAATAATATACTTTTTGTTTCTATTATTTAATTATAATTTAAAATTTCTTAATTAAGAAATTTCATACCATCTTTATTAAAATAAAATTTTAACACATTTAATAATTTGCTGTTAAGGTTATATGTTTTAATTTCTTTTAAATGATTTTTTATAATATTTACTTAAACAATTTTAAAGATAGAAAAAATAAAATAAAAAGTTAAAATAATTATATTAAACATACAAAAAGAGCATGTTTAAAAAATATATAATTATAAATTAAATAATTAAAAAAGATAAATTTTACTTTATTTAATATCATTTTTTAGAATATTTAAATAAATTTAAGTATTTAATTATATATGTTTATTTAAATTATATGTTTATTTTGAAAATTATATATATAGTATAGAATGTATTAAAAAAAGAATTATTAGCAACAAGTGATTAATCAAAAACTTCTTAACATTATTAAGTTCATTTCTTAGAACTTTTCTTACGATAAAATATATATTATTTGTTATAAAAATATTATAATAAAACATTTAATTTATAATGAAATATAAAAATACATCATATAAAGGATATATCTGAGTATAGATTTTATTCTTGTTTTAATTTTAAAGAAAATATAAAATTTAAGAAAAAGAATTTTCTACATTTCTAAATCACTCCTATTAATGATCCTTTTTAGTCTAAAAAAAAAAATGAGATGAAAAATAATTTAAAAATATTATAAAAAATAGATATTTAAAAGGAATTATGAAAAATATAAATTAAAAGAAAAAAAAAAAAATACTACCTTATTAGTTAAACAATTATAAATATGTGGAATTCCTGGTTTTAATATTAACTCATAAGATACATAAGCAGTTTCTGCTGCTAGAAAAAAAATTAAAGCTCTTCTAATAATAGGTAAACCAACACTTCCACATCCATATGACATTTTTATATAATAAATAAATAACAGATGAAAAAAAAGATGAAAAAAAAAATTTAAATATATAATATTTATTTAGATAATTCAAATAAATGTTTTCGTAATGGCATTTAAAAAAAAAATATGTATCTAAATGAAAAAAATATTCCTTTAGAAAATTATAATAACTTTTTTTAAATATATATATATATATACATATATTTTTATTTTAATATATGATTCATTATATTATTATACGTATTTATTATATTTTTTATTTTTATTTTTATTTTTATTTTTATTTTTATTTTTATTTTTATTTTTATTTTTATTTTTATTTTTTTTTTTTATTTTTATTTTTATTTTTTTATTTTATTTATTTATTTATTTATTTTTTTTTTTTTTTTTTTTTTTTTTTTTTGTGCTTTTTAAATTCTTTAATTTTTTTAAAATATTTTGGTTATATACATGTGTATATTTTGATTAAAAAATATTAAGTAAAATAAATATGATAGTTATTTAAATGATATATAAAGTATACAAAATGATAATAACTTAATATATTATTATATACATTTTTAAAACAATTGAATGATGAAAAAACATTTTTAATATAAAAGTTCATACTTAAATAACTAAATGGACCTATTAACTTTATAAAAGAGGATAATGAAAATATTTCTTTTCCTTTTTTTTTTTTTTTTTTTGTTCTTTTTAAAAGATCAAAAGAATTGACCTTTAAATAATTATTATAAAAAAAATATATAACTAATTAAATATATAGATTTGATTTGAATTAATAAAAAACAAAAAAAGTTCTGCCCATAAGTGCATAACACTTCTAATGAATTTCATATATCAAATAAATTTATATACAAAGCATATTTATGTGTGCGTTAATCTGTTAGTAACAAAGAATTACATTGAGAATAGTGATTTTATAGCCCATTTAAAAAAAAAGGAAAAAAAAAATTTTATTTTTAAAATAAAGTTGTCTAAGTAGAAGATTTTTATAGAAAAATCATAAAAATATCTTTAAAAAAAAAAAAAAAAAAAAAAGTTGAATTATATTAGTGTTTTTTTTTATAACTATCTTCCTAATTCATTACTATATTTCTAAAATACATATGTACGTATTTTTTTTTCTTTATTGTTACTAAATATGCTGAAATATATTTTAATAATTTGTACTTTGGCATTATATTTGCCATTGGAAATATCAAGTAATATATCATGTTTATAAATATACTAACCTATTGAAATTAAAAATTATGTTTTTAATATTTATTATCTCAATAATAATGATTTAAAAATATTTTTATTTCATTTTATTTTGTTCTTTCCTCTGCTAAGAGTGAAAAATTCAAATATACTTTTAGAAAAATAATATAAATTATAAAATTAAAATAATCATTATCCTTATTTTAATAATATAAATTTTTTTTTTATTCTATGTTTATTATTTTTTTAATCGAACAATGTAACTCCTATATACACATAAATTACATATATAACTTTATTTTAGACAAGCCTCACAAGAGTGCCAAGCCAAAACGGGCGGAAAAAGAAAAAAAAAAAACTCCGAGTCGTAAAGGTATAAAATATAATTTTAAAATTTATTTTTGAAAAGAAAAAAATAAATTATTATATTATATTTTCTAGGTATTGATAATATTGAAAATTCTATTATGAGAAAGGTTGAATCCATTAACGTTGCGTTTGATCCCAGTTCTAAAAAGTTTGTTCCATCAAAATCAAGAAAATCACACATAGTTGGTTCGTACAAAAAATAATTACAAAAATATTATCATGAAAAAAAAATATACTATAGAATTTAAAAAATTAAAAACAGGATAACACTATTTAATAAACATTTAAGAATCCATTGAATATTAATTATTTAAAACTACAAATTATATAATAATATAAATTAATTTTTTTTTTTTTTTTCCTTTTTAGGAGGCTTTAGTCAAAATACATCAGATGCAGAAGGTTTATAAGAAAAAAAAAAAAAAAGAAGAAACATATATTGTATTAATATACCTATTCTATATAAATAATTCTCTATTTTATTATATATTTATTTATAATAATTTTTAAATTCTTCTGATTTTAATTATTTTCCTTATTTTAATTATCTATTTTTCTCATAGATGTCGAGAAAAGTAAATATGAAAAAGGTAAAAATTCAAAAAAAAAAATTATTTATTTTTATAAATTTAATTACTATATAATTTTGATAAACCTTTTTATTATTATTATTTTTATTAGCTATTCGCTTTTTTGAAAAATTAAAAGATGAAATGTTAAACCTTGCTACAAAAATTAACAATGAATTAGAAAATCAAAATCACACAACATTAGATCAATATAAGAGTGCTTCAATTTTACTAAAAGAAAGTTTGGCTACAATGCACTCATTAGATGTAGTAAGAAATAATCCAGATATTAATTATTCAAGTAATATATAAACTTAAAAATGCTTAAATAAAAATAATAAATAAATAACAATGATAATATTTTATTATAAATTATTATCTTTCTATTTTTTTCAGAATATACAGTGGATTGGTATACAAATGCAACCCTAAAAGATAAATATGACACTAAGAAAAGTAAATAGAATTATGCATTAATTAATTAAAAAAATTTATATTATTTATAACCAATATATTATATCATAAAGGTTTATTCTTATAGGTATAAAAAAAAGCATGGAAAAAATGTTTAAGAATGCACACAATTCAAAAAAAGTTGCAAATAAAAAAATAGGTACTATATATATTTTTTTTTTTTTTAATTTAAAAATTTTATCATAAAAATATATTTTTTTTTATTTTCCTTTATAAAGACTATAATATCGAGCAACTTGAAGTGGACCTACTAATGCAAAAATTTGTAACTGAAAATACAAATGGTATATATTAAATTGCATTGTCTATATTTTATATTATCTCACTATTGATATATATTTTTTCTGTTCTTTTATTTTTTTCTTAAAAAAAAATAAAAGTTTATAAAATATTATTATTCTTTTTTTATTATTTTTTAGTAATCAAATTATTAAAAGAACACAATAATAATACTAATGATTATATGTCTCCTATGCATAATGATGTTTGTGGACAATTAGGTACATCTAAGAATAAAAAAAAATAAATTATGTAAAATAAGTTTATTAATATAAGAGATAAAAATTATATTTTTTTTTTTTAAATTTTTTAGGAAGTATATTTGTAAGCTACCTATTTGAAAAAACTTTCAAAAGTTCAATCAATAAAAATTTAGGTTTCTTCAAAAATTATCTTCCTCGTTTAAAATTTAGAATACAAACTATGATTCAAAATGGTATAAAAAAATTTACCTTTTTTTTTTTAAATATATATAATTATTATTAAAGATTTTCTATAAATATATATATATGCAATATTTTTTTTCTATTTAAAGGAACTCTTTTACTATTGGAGAAACGATTAGATGACTCCTTGCATTCTTTTAAGATTAAAATTGCAGAACTTATGCAAAACAGTAAAATTATATAAAAGAGATAAATTATTTAAATTAATTTATATTTATATATTTAAGAAAGAAAAATTTCTTAAATACATTATTATAATTTAATATATGTATATATTACCTAATTTTTATTTAGTGAAATAAATACACATAAATATATATTTCTTTATTTATCTTTTGTTTTAGAATTTGGATTCAATGATATGTGTTCTGAAAAATGTCTATTAGATACTGTTAATGCAGATTATAGTTTAAAAGAATATGAAAAAATATTTAAACCCACTAATACATTACAACGAAGAGCAGACTGTAACACATATACATACACACATACATACTTATAAATATATATATATATGTATTTTTTTTTTTTTTTTTTTTTTTTTTTTTTTTTTAGTGACTAAATCATTAATGTATTACTATAGAAATGAATTATTTAATATAGAAGCATCTGCTGATTTTATTTTAATAATGTTACTTTATCTACATTCTGCTACTGAACTTTCAGAAAAGGGATTTTTAGATGCCAGTATTTTACACACTTCTGATAGATTTAATTTAATAAATAAAACTATTGATAAAAATAGAGAGGTATGAAAAAAAAAAAAAAAAAAAAAAACTTTTCAAATAGTTTAGGAATATTTTATTCCATAATTTTGCTGATTAAATATGAATTTTTAATAATAATTATTTCCTAATAATTTTTATATTTTCTTATTTGTAGAAAAAAGAAAGTAATCTGATAAATTTTAAAAAAATGGCTCCCTTTAATTTTTTTCGAGAGGAACCAGAAGAAAAGTCTGGGAATGAATCAATATTTGCAATCGATGATATCATAAAAACATGCTCATTAGCAAAACGTTCAAAACATTTTAATTCTTTATTTGAATTAACAAAAAATCTATGGAAAGATATTCAAAATATTTATGCAGCTTCTTACGGATTTACTGAAGCAAAAAAAATAAAAATTGGAAAATTTGTTGCCTCAAAAATTAGAAATGTTGGTTTTATATTTAGGTGGTTTAGTAATAATAAACCAGCACTCCCAAATGTAAATTTCTTGGTTAATAATTTTTCACCTTTACTTTCTATAAGCTTACAATTAAGTAATAATTATAATAATTAGATACTTGTAATTTTATTAAAAATATATATATTTCAAAAAAAAAAAAAAAATAAAGTAAAAAATATATATACTATATAAATGCATATATATATATATATATATATATATATATATATATATATATATAAATCTTTATCTTCTTTTCTTTTTTTCATTATGAATAGCTTTTTTTATAAGTACTATGATTGAACAATATGAATCCAGTTTTCTCAGTAGTTTTTCGGCAGTTCTAAAAAAAATTTTCACTTTAGGTAGAAGTGGAGCAAATCCAAAAAACTATGATGATTTAATTGAATTTTCAGAAACAAATTATTTATTAAAATATGCAAAAGTCGATAGAGTTCAAAGAATAATTACTCAAATAGTTACAATGTTAAAAAAAAAATTCTTATCTTTGCCTTTCACTCCTACACTACTTGCTCAATATGTATCTATTTTCCTTTCATTATGGGTGTTTGAAAATGAAACAGATATTTCATTAAACAATAGTAACATATCAAGATTTAAAAAATTGTTTTTTCTCACCTACTTTGTCCATAGTAAAATAAATAAAAAAAAAATAATAAAATAATAAAATAAGATAGAAATATATATACAAGATAATTTTTACTCTTTTATTTTTAGATGATGGTCCTGTTGAGAAAGCTGTTGACATAATTTATAGTAGATGTAAAGGTAAAACAGACAAAATAGTTTTAGGTTGTATACAGGACTACGGTGGAAGAGAAAAAAAAAAATTTTTCGGTTTAATAAATAGAAAGTGTAAACCTACAAAAATTAGTATAAAGAAACGTAGTATTCGTAAAATTTTGAAAATTCTTATGTCATCTTTAACTAACCCTTTAGAAATTTTAAAAATTGCTGTTGATACAGCTACAAGATGTGATTATTTTGGTCGTAGTTCATCATTAGAAAATAATAAAATGAAGAAATCTAAAAAAAATAAAATAAATTATGATTTATTTATTAAATCAGAATTATCTCTCCGATATATATGTGCCACTGTGACAAGTAACTTTTTTATTTTATGCAAAAAAAAAAAAAAAAGTGTCTATATACTTAAAATTTTTTTTTTTTTCTTTTAGAGAAAATTGTTCAAAAAATTATAAGAGATGTTTCACGACTTAAAGATATGAGTCAAGCTCAAGGTATAATTGATCAAACATTAGACAGTCTTCAGTATTTAAAAATAAAAAATTATAGAGATGAAAGTAGCAGTGTTACTATTATTTGTCCTTTTATGGAAGGAAACGATAAAAATATAAGAGAATTAGAAAGAAGTCAAATAACTTTTTTTGTTTATAGTAAATAAAAATAAAATGAATATTTAATTATATTAAAAATAAATAAATACCATTTTCTCCACTTTTTTTTTTAGAGAACATAGGTTTACTTAAAATTATTAAGGGAAAAATTATAAATATCTTTAAGAAATCTATTTCAACTAGAGAAGGTTAATATGACAATAATTATATTTATTTATGAAAAAAAAAATAATATTATTTTAATTGTCTTATTTTTTTATTTTTATTTTTTTATTAGGTATTAAATCAGACAGTGCTATTTATATAAAAGTTGGAGGTAATTTAATAAATGACATTAAAAAATACATAGAAGTATTTTATCCCATATCATTTTTGAAAATATTACATAAATGTATAATTTTTTTTTTTTTTTTTTTTTTTAAGCTCGAAAATTTAATGGACTTCTTTACACCGGAGGTAATGCATATATATAATTATGCATTTTTACATGTTTAAATAAAAGTAAAAAATAATTTTCTTAATTTTTTTTTTTTTTTTTTTTCAATTTTAGGATATCATCTAAACGTAGAAAATTCTGAATGTAACACAACAAAATAAACTTATTTTTTGAAATTTCTTTTTTAAAAAAATAAATAAAAAATTAATTATAAATATATAATTATTTGTATATTTTTTGTCTTTGTTAGATGATACTCTTCATATTGAATTTTCAGAATCAAGTAAATTTTATTATATTAAATATTATTCTACTATATTATTTTGTGTTTATTACTCTTTTCTCATAAATATTTATTGTTAGTGATATTTTATTTTACAATATTTATTTTCTGCTTTTATTTTTTTTTTAGGAAAAGTGTATGATGGAAGACAATTTGTTGATGAATTATCTATAATAAAAGCAGATGGTATTATATTTGATAATTCTTTTAAATAATTGTTCATTGAAAATATTTTATCATTTTAATGCCTCGTTATTTTACTTTACCTTTTTTTTTCCCCTTTTTTAATGTTTTTTAGGTGTTAAAAGTATCGAAATGAAAGGAATAAATGAGGGATATCAAAGTAATAAATAACATTAATTTTTTTAAAAAAAAAAATAAAAATAATAAACCTAATTAAAATCCCTTTCTTTTTTCTTAATTTTAGGAATTTACGTTCTTACCGATGGTACTAAGGTAACAGAATTTGATTTCGCCATTCAGAATCCCGACGGTATATTTATTTATATATATATAAAAATATAATTGAATAAAAGTAAAAAAATGAATTTTTATTTTTTTTTTTTATTATAGCTGATATAATTGTTTTTGATGGATACAATTATGTTTCATCTCATGCTCTTCGTTTTATGGGAATAGAAGACGAAAGTATATATTAACATATATAATAAAAATTAATAATTAATTATTTGTTTTAGTTCTTTTTAATTTCATCATATTATTATTAACTTTATTATATTCATATATGAAATATATATATATATAAATATATACATCTGTTCATTTTTTTTTAATTTATTAGGACTTGTTTGGGCAGGAGATAGCATAGGATGGACAGCTGAATTTGCTTTAGGTCTCATTTCAGAAAGTCCAGGTAATAAATTTATATATATGTATTATAAAAAAGAAATGAAAATATTTAATATATAATTTAATTCTAAAAAAAAAAAAACTAATTTTTATAGTACCAATTTTTGATGGTCATGCGTGGGTTTTACTTGATAAATTAAATATCAAGAGTATATTAGGTTAGAAACTAAATGATATAAATATCATAAATTGATATAAAAATAAAGTTTAATTATAATATATTTTTATCTATACTTTTTAAATGATAGGCGATCATTTACCAAAGGATGTAGATGGAAATTTACTAGCTAAAAATGTTAATTTTATTGTTTTAAATAAAAGTGGAAAACAAATAATGATAGATGAAACACGTAATAAATTAAATATATATGTATATTACGTTGAAATCACTAATTATTCATAATTTATATAAATTATAACCTTAATCTTCACAAATATATATATTTTTTTTTTAACAGCCGTTATAAATTTAAAGTATGCAACACTTACGTTGTCTGGTATACTAAATTTTGTTACTAAGGCTGAAAAAGGAAAAGGTAATGAAATAATTGTTCATACCAGAATACCGTAATGATATTAGTTTCCTTTTTTTTGTAAAAAGTGTAATAAGGAAAAAGTTAAAATTTAAGTAATTTTTCTCAGAAACTTCTTCATTTTAAGTAGTTAGATCTATGATACATATACGAGAAAATTAAAAATCCTATATTTTTTAAATTAAAAAATATGAAATAAACATAAAAAGTTTTATTTAATTAAAATGAGGAAAAAACCGTAGCTTTTTTTCTTTTTTTTTTATAATAATTCACCTTTCTTCACTATTTTATTATATAAATATTTTAAGCTTTTGATATATAATATAGATATATATATATATATATATAAATGTGTTAAATAAAATTTCAATAATTTTCATACTTTTTGTATTTTTATATATATTTTGAAAATTGAAGACTATTGAAATATAATATTTAGTTGTATATATTTTTTTTTTGTTTTATTTTTTTTTTTTAAATTTTAGTTTTTATATCAATTTAAATTGTTTCCATGCATTTTTAATTTTTCCTTCTTTTTTTTTAACCTTTTTAAATACACATTTTTTGTCTAATAATTTTCATTTAGTTCTTTTTTCTTCTAATTTTTCTTTTTTTATAATAAAGTTTTTTGTTTTAACGTTATCTTTAATTTGTTATATTTTTCGTAGTACAATCATTGGAATCAAACATTTTCAACATTTTTTTTTAAGAAAAACAAAAATAGTAAAAATAAAATACTTAAAATTATAACTAATCTGGAATCAATTTAATTTTTTATGTAAAGTAATATTGTTTATAGCCTATTTTAAGTATCTATGTAAAACGTACAAATAAAATTTTTTATACTTTTTTTTTTTTTTATTATTGTTTTGTATAATTTTTTAAAAAGAAAATATATTATCATTTTTATGCACAATTTACAATTTCATATACAAATTTTTTTAGTTGTGTGCTTTTATGTGCACACAAAAAAAAAAAAAAAAAAAAAAAAAAAAAAATATGAACAGGTTCAAATTTTTTAAAATGTATTCATAAAAATCTGTTTAATGAAAAATAGTTTCAATTAGTTATTCTATACATTAAATAAAAAGCATAAGCATTTCTATCTTTAATAATATAAAAATCATGAAAAAAATTTTAATTCCAATGTTTGAAATAAGAAAATTACATAACTATATATATCTTTTGTAAAAATAGTTCATTGAATTTGTATTTTATTTATTTTTTTTTTTTCTATGGCATATTAAAGAAGATAAAAAAATGAATTCAAAAACTCTTCCAAAATTAAATAATAAAAGTCGATCTTTAATGAAATCAATGAAACCACCTATAATTCCTCCTATGTTATTAAAAAATAAAGAAAAGTTACCTCGTACGATTATATAATACTGTAGAAATATATATATATATATATTATAAAATAAAAAATTAAATACCTATATACACACATATAATAACATATTAACTTTCATATTATATATATATTCAATATTTTTAATAAGTATTTTTTTTTTTAATAATTTAAAACAGCTGTCCCAAAGAATGTTATTTCAAAAATGATAGAAAATGATATAAACAGTAACAACAATAAAGTGGAACAAGAAATAAAACCGTCTGAACCAAATGTCAAAATACCAGAACCCAATATAAAACCACCAGAACCCAATGTAAAACCACCAGAACCCAATATAAAACTACTAGAACCAAAAATAAAACCATCTGAACCAAAATTAAAACCACCAGAACCAAAAATAAAACCATCTGAACCAAAAATAAATCCACCTGAACCAAAAATAAAACCACCTGAACCAAAAATAAAACCACCTGAACCTAAAATAAAACAATCTGAACCAAAAATAAAACCACCTGAACCAAAATTCAAACCACCTGAGCCAAAAATAAAACCATCTGAACCAAAAATAAAACCACCTGAACCAAAATTCAAACCACCTGAGCCAAAAATAAAACCATCTGAACCAAAATTCAAACCACCCGAACCAAAAATCAAACCACCACAAACAAAAATAAAACCACCAGAACCCAATATAAAACCGTCAGAACCCAATATAAAACCATCAGAACCCAATATAAAACCACCAGAACCTAATATAAAACCAATCGAACCAAAAATAAAACCATTTGATCCGAAATTAAAATTTTCAGGATCAAAAATAAATTCAGTAGAATCAACAACCAAATTTACATCAAAAGAAGCTAATGATGTAGATCTAAAAGAAAATATGTCATTTGATTCAGTCAAAGAAGAATACCCCAAGAACATTTTATCAAAGAATAAATTTCATGAAAAAAAAAATATTTTTGATAAAGTAAGAAATATATCACTGATATCGAAAAATGTTGAAAGCAGTAATCCATACGAAATCATAGAAAAGGGTAGGTTATATTCAGATAAGAAAGAAAAAACTAAACACTCAACTTCTACAGTTACAGAAAAAGGTACAATAATTAAAAAGGAAATATCTTTGTTAGATAATGAAATGACAAAAAATATATTGAATAACAGCAAAGAAATTCAACAAAAATCATTAAAAAATGGAAACTTTAATATTGTCGATATTTCAACACAGGGAAAAGGAAGTACTTTTAAGATATCGACAAATTTACATAATAAAGTAGAACAAACAGAAGTGTATATTAATAGTGTAACTAAAAAAAATATAATGATTGGAATACCAAATGAAGCAAAAAAAATTGGTCCCTTATCAACTTTTAAAGAAAGCAAATTGATTAGAAATACTCACTATATAAATGCATTTTCAAGATTTGATGGTAATTATATAGGTAAAGTTACAGGACCACCCACCCCCATTTCTAATTTAGATAAAACTCCTCAGAATCATAACGAAAAAAAAGATTTTCAAAATGAATTTCAAATAAATAATTTTTCTAATAATTTATCACCTTTTTCTGATTATTCATGTATGATGAATTTCCCTCTTTATAATTTTAATAGTAACTTAAAAAATAGTGGCATAGCAAATCCACCTTTTTGTTTTTATCCCGGGATGTGCATACCTTTATATCCATATGATCCTTTATATTATCAAAATATTTTTATGAATAATTTAAATGAATCAGAAGAGAAAAATAGGAAAGAAGAAATTAATAATGATAATAAAAGAATAAAAAAAAAAAATAAAAAAATAAAAAAAAAAAATGTTGATAATACAATGGTAGCTTCAGGGCACCTAAAGCCTCTACAATTTAGAAATGGAGCAGAATGGAGTAGTGAAGATGAAAAATATTTGAATGCTGATATATATTTTGAAGAAGAAAAAAAAATAAATAGAGAAAATAAAAATAAAAGTAGGAGTAAATATATTGGAAACTCTCAATGGTATGAAATTGAACATAAATTAAACAATTCAAGGGGAGTTATCGAGGATGAAGATGAAGATGAAGAAGAAGATGAAGATAAAGATGAAGAAGAAGAAGAAGAAGAAGAAGATGAAGATGAAGACGAATATAATAATGAAAATGAAGATTATAATAAAGAAGAAAATAAAAAGTATTATAAAGAATTAAAAAAAAAAAAAAAATGCAAAAGTACTAAAAAAAATATTGAAGACATGGATAATTTTAATTTTGACAACTTATATAAAAATTATAAAATAGAATATTTAAAAGAAAAACTAAAATGGGCAAACGAATATTTAAAGAAAAAGAAAAAAAATGAAGAATTAAGTAATAGTAATTCTATAACTTACAATCCTTTAAGAAAAAAACATATTGAACGTTTAGATGATATTGCACATCTTTTTTTACCAAAAAACAAAAAATATCAAAATCTATTTGATTTAGCAATGAATATTTCTAAAATATCTAATGATGACAAAAATGATATAATTAATATACTTTTATCATGTAGAGAATTAGAAAAATTAATAGAAGAACAACATTGTATCCTTGATATGTTAGATAATGACTTGAAAGAAGTAAATGCATCATTAAAGTTACCTTCTAATTGGGATAATTTTGAAAACTTTGAATTATTACAAGAAAATATTTTAAATTCAGAAGAAAATGGTTTATCTTTAAATAATACTCCTTTATTTATAAAAGGAAAAGTATCTCTTATACCAAAAAATTTAGAAACTTTTTTTGAAGAAACAGAACAATCAGATAAAAAAGAAGGATACAATACAATGACAAATATGCATACAGAAAAAAACACACTAACAAAAATGAATACAGAAAAAAACACAATAACTAACATGAATATAGAAAAAAACACAATAACAAACACTAAATTTTCTCCAAAATTAATAAAATCTAAAGTGAAAGCAAAAATACCTTTATTGTTAAAAAATACTCAAAAATCATAAAAAATATTTAATCCTATTTTTTTAAAATTTCCACATTAATACTATTTTAATCATTATATATTTCTTTTTTTTTTGTTTTATTTATTATGTATTTATATGTAAAATTTTTTTCATTATTTTAATTATTCATTTATCATTTAGTTTTTTTTTTTTTTTTTTTGTTAACTTTTTAAATTGTTTTATTTTTGTATCACATTAATTAATTTTTGTTAATTTTAAACTTTTTCAATTATTTTATTTTTTATAATATATATATTATTTCCACTTTTTCAACAGTTTTAATTTTTTCTTTTTTCATTATTTACTATTTTAGGATATTAAAATTATCCATTTTTATTATTGTAAGTAATGTAAAATTATTAAGATGTTATATAATTTTTGTAATGAACTTTATAATAAACATTTTTATATCACAACTTTATAAAAAAAAAAAAAGTGTTAGATTTACTAGTTTACACACATATATTTGTATTTTAATGAAAAAATGAAAGCAATAAGTCATTAAAAATTATGTAATTAATTTTTTTCGTAAGTAAATAATATATATATATATATGTTTTTTTTATTTTATATTTCTTATTTATTTCACATTTTTAACCAGGTGGCCATTTCATTTGTCTTTTAGCTAAAATGTGTAGGTGTAAGTAATAAACAGACTGACAAGCTTCTGGTCCATTGTTTACAACCAGTCGAAAATCTCCTAAGTTATTTCTTCTTACTATTTCTGCAACCTATATAAAATAAATATAAAAATATATTGCAACATACATGTTTATTTTTTATAACTATATTGCTATATATATATTCTTATAAGAAAATTATAATAATAAAACGAAAAAAATATTTTACCGCCCACATTAAATGTCCAAGAATTTCCTTATGTTTTTCTTCTGCTTTACTTAATCTTGTTAATCCATTTCTATTTTTTGGTATTACAAGGATATGAACTGGTGCTTGCGGATTTATATCATTAAATGCCATAACCTATATATAAAATACATTAACATAGAAATAATTTATATCAAAATTTAAAAATAATAGAAATATATATAAAAAAAAAAATATATATAATCAACTACAATAATTTATAAAATCATACATTAATTTTTTATGATTCATGTAATTTACTAAACAAAATTACAATTTATAAAAAGTAAAATAAAAGAAAAAATATACTACCTTATCATCTTCATAAACTAGGTCCACTTTAATTTCTCCATTAGCGATTTTTCCTTTAAAAAAATTATTATATAAAATTAAAATATATTTTTTCCTATGCTAAATTTTTAATTTAATTATTTATTTAATAATTTTTTCTTCTTTTTTTTTTTAAGAAAAACCAAAAATTGACGATCCATTTTCGTCTGTTCCTGCTGCTAATAGAGCTTTTTCTTCTTCATCTGCCATTTTAGCCAATTTTTTATTTATAACTCTTCTGTTAAATTTTTATAAAATAGTAACAAAATTTTAAAAGTTTAATATTGATTTTAAATAAAAATAAAAAATTTATATTCTATTTTGATTATATATAATACATTTCATTATATAAAAAATGATATTTTTTTTTTTTTTTTATTACGTCAAACACTTATTGCTGTATGAAGTTCTAATAAAACAATTTAATACGATATTTTTGAGACTATTTTTAAAAGATTCTATTGCTTTCATTAAGCATAAGAATACTAAGAAAAAAAAAAAAATAATGTGTTCATCTAGAATTTAGCAAAATATAATTATATATATAATTATATATATAAATATTATTTTTTTTTTTTTTTGTAACTATGTATTTAAAAATTCTTTAAATTGTGTATCTTACTAAATAATATAAAAATAATTCTTAATCTCATATATTTTATTGTGAATATATATAAATATTTTTTTTTTTTTTCTACATTTAATAAATTCCTTTTACTTTTAATACAAAAAATACTGAAAAAAATTCTTTTCTATTTAGTTAATATGTATAGGTAGGATATTAAAAAGATAATTTGGATATTATTTCCATGTGCTTATTTTTAAAAATAACAGAAGAAGAAAAATATGTTATGTTATTCCTTAAACATTTGTTATGTAAATTTATATTTCACATATATTGTAGGTTATAAACTAATTTTTTTTATTTTTTATATTAATTTTTTTATATTTTATTTTTAAAAATAACCATATTTATTTTTTTTTCTTAAAATATAATGAATATTCTATTATGATTGATTTAAAAAAAAAAAAAAAAAAAAAAAAAAAAAAAAAA